TTTCTTCAACTTTGACTCAATACAACTTTCATCTCAAGCATCCATTTAACTCCATTCTTTTTCCATTTCAAAGCTTGTAACATCATATTTCTAAATCATCAAGAATCATGCCCTAAGACCCCTTGAGTTGAAAATGCCATTGGTCAGAAGTTGGCACTTTGAAATTAAATTTCTCACAAAGTCAGAATTTTGAAATCCATAATGTGGCCTCTAATCACAAGTTTTCCACGCGTTTTTGCCTCTAAACATGTTTATTGAAGTTCCAGATTTGTTTAGCGCATCAAAACGCAAGAATTGGATCAGTTTTGATGAAGTTTGTATCACACTTCACTCGTGCATCAGGTGTGCACGATTTCCCTCCAAAACGCATCATTCACTCTTCCTTTTGATCCCATTCGCTTCTCCTATAAATACATGAACTATCCCATTCAATTTCCCAAGCTTGGATAGCCAGAATCACCCTGCCAAACTTGCTCCATAACTCAATTTTCTGTAACTTCAAAATCCATTCTCGATCCTTTTTCAATCCAATTTTTCCATCAATTCACCTTCCTTGATCTACCCTGAAGCTAACCATATAATTACATTCAAGAATCATACTGGAAGCCAGATGCTTCCTTCGACCTTCGTCGTTGAGTCATCCATACTAGAAGCCAGATGCTTCCTTCGACCTTCGTCGTCGAGTCTCCTTATGACGCCAGACTCATTAACAAACACAGTTAGAGGAAATCCCTTAAAGAAATCCTTCTCCACGAAATAAGGAGGGAGTCTGAAGGCTCGGGCAGTCGCCCCTCCGGTCACACCAACCGCCTTATCTATGGCGCGACTCCTTTTCCTGCCCAACACATCAGCTTGCTGGTCGGCACTGCAGGTTCCGATGACCCACTAGATCCTTCCTTGGCTGGCTCGGAAAATGAACCCATGCGTGTAGGCTGATGCGGCTTCACCAACCTCTTATGGCTCTTTTTATCTTGGGCCAGCTTCAACAACCTCTCGCGATGTTCCTTCAGTTACCTGCAAAAACAAAAACGATATCCTCAGGTCAGCCTCGACAGGAAAACAAAAAAAAAACAAAAAAAAAGTCAATTCCGGAAGTAAAAATATAGAAAATGAAGCAAGCATAAACCTAAGAGATTCACGACTTCCCCATAAGAACGACACTCGACGAGCGCCTTGGTGTTGGTCGGGTGCGCTTTGAACGTCAGCTCACCATCTTCATCGAGGATGTCATGTCATTCCCTCGTGACCCATCTAGCAGGAAAGAACCCATCGACGAACCGATTAAGAACACCATAGGCCTCTTCGTCCTCACCGCTCATGCCGCCGGCGGGAGTTTGGTAATGCCCGGGACCATGATCGTAGTGGCCCGAACACCAATGGATAGGAAACTTCGAGATTCACCCCATCTCATGCTCACCATTCGTATCATAGTATGGTTCACCGTCTTCGTCCACGATGTTATCCAGGTCGAACACGACGTCCGCGGTAGCCTAAGAAGTAGGTCGCACGACATACCATCTGTCTTTAAAGTCGCGAACGGAGTCCATGTACATCCTGAACATCCTCTTAGACTGTTTGAGAGAGACCCAACTGGGTTTCCCACCCCGGAACTGCCGTTGAAGATGAAAAACCCTAAAGAACAGGGGAATGGTCGCCCCGATCCTCAAGAACCGGCAAGTAATCTCAAATTCCTGGATTAAGGCAATGGCGTTGGGGTGAAGCTGAGAGGGCGCTAAGTTCAAGTGATTGAGCACCCCTATCCAGAAATCATTGAAGGGAAGGCGAAGCCCCAAATCTCTGAAAACGACCTCATACATGGGGAAGCGGTCTTCCTCGAACTCTGAGCATATTTGAGCATTGGGTGTCGATCGCAAGATCGCAAAGTTCCTTTGGAAACCTTCCTGATCACCGCCATACTCGACGACAGTGTAAGACTTCCTCCTGCTATGACTATATATCAAGGCTATTCCTCGAGGCTCTTCCCCGGCCTAAGCCAATGCGGGATCGTCAACTGTGTCAACCAAGTTGACACCTTCCTCGGCTACACTGGTCTCTTCGATGCCCACATGCTCAGACGAATCAGGAGTGTCGACCATTTTACCTGTAAAGAAGAGCAAACTGGGAAATTCAACGAAAAATCTAAATCCATCCTTCCACGACGCAGGTGAAAAGGTCATGCGGCGCCCAAACCAAGTCGACAGTCACTCGTGTAGAAGCGGTAAGACTCGGTCCTCGATCAGAGCATGAAAATCATGAAAGTCTTATAAGACCACACAACGGTTATAACGACGAACACTCATTTTCATGAATACCCTGAGTACGAGAAGAATACAGCAAGCAAAGTACGAATTTTCCGGCCAAGCTCATGAATTCGTCAGGGATCGCATGAATTTCTTGCACAAAATTCATAAATTTTGCGGGGATATATGAAGACTACGTGGTGAATTCATCTAAGTGTCGGGGAAAAGATGAATATCACGGGCTCGATCATGAATAGTACATATAAATACATGAATTCCTCGAGCAGAACCCCTCAGTTGTGAAATTTTACAACTAAAACATCATCAAAGTCAATCTAAACAATGAGTATCACGAAAAATACTAACTTGGACAACAGTAGATGAAGAATAATGAAGGTAGAAGAAGAATGCGCGACGGATTCTGCGGCGGCGTTGGCAGTGGAAGGAAACTGCACGACATTGGCGATAGGGAGAGTGAAGAGCGCGAGAATATAAACGCGAATAATGGGCCTTAGGGCACTATATATAGAGCTGACGTGGAATGCGAAACATCGCGTCGGGCAGCTCAACAACCGCCTTTCTCCTCGACACCTACGCGCTCAGCTAATGATGACCCATACTCCCTAGGCCATAATTACAATCCCAAAGGTCACGCCATGTGCCTACACCCTACAGGTTTCTCCTCCCCGCCACTAGAATGCTCCCATCTCGAGTCCATTCCGAACGCTGCTCGGGTAAACCCCTATATCGACGACTTTCTCCTTCAACACAATAAAAGATCCTCGTCGAGCAATGCACCTTTTAAAAGAAAAAGCTGGACTTAGTCATAACTCCTTCATCAGGAGCAACGACTTAAGGGGATCCTATTCCGGACTGGGCCTGCCCTTGGTACAACTCCACGAGAGGCCAAATCCAATTATATCGATCAAAGTATACTGGCCAGTTCTGCCCTCGACTTCGTCGGGCAGCAACTCCCACTCCCCGCAAGGAGGCAACCTCACCGCACGAGGAAAACCCAATCAATTTTAGGAAGATCATCGCCAGTCAGGAGGACCTCGAGGTCACCCTCTGATCCTCTCCCTGACCAAGACTGATTCCCTCACACGACCTCGCGTCTGACGGGGAGCATCCACGACGAGCAGAAGCACCTCACGAGCATCCTCCTTGTAGGGCTGACTGACAACGTCTCCGAATATCGCGGAGTCTTCGTGGCCCCGGAAAGATCGCATCCATATCCTCCTGATCTTGTGGAGGAAGTCATCTAGGTGGGGGATCACGTGCGAGTCCCCACTACTCACGTAGAACCTGACAGTCTCCACTTTGGGCCTGTTTGACCAGCCCAATGAGGAGACCTTGGTCCAACACTGGGGGCTATAAATACCCTCTCTTTCGAGAGAGTGATGTATTGGATATTTTTTACTCTCTTACTTGCTTGCTCATTCCGAATCTAACTCTGGCATCAGAGTGTCTTGCAGATATCCTCCTCCCTTCACTCTCAAGTTCTGCTCGACATAAACTGTGACGGTCTATTCTGATCAAATAGGATCAAGATGCATTGCTTAGAACACCCTAGTGAAGGGACGTTGCGAAGTAAATTCTACCTAATAAGATTGTAAAGTGATTTTCACCTAGAAATATAAAGAGGCAATTTAACCAAACAAAAATTTACGACTATCATTTTTAATTTGTAATCCAAGGTAAAAAAACTCTGAAGAAAACTATATTTAATTATATTGACCTTTAAAGCATCATATAATTTAGAATGGAAATAGTAGATTATGAATTTCACACTAAAAACTATAAATATTAAGCGTATTTTTACTTGAAGGTACGTGAGTGTGTTATTTTTAAAATACACTTTAAGTCTTATTCAAAATATATACAAGAATGTTACCCAAAAATAGATAACATAATAAAATAATATGAAATGATTTTTTTGCAATTGTTTTTTTAATAGGTGAATTTATTTAGACAAGGATGATATTTGAATTTTTTTTATATAACAAATACTATATTTTATTTTTTATTATAAATCTTTTTGGACTTTTCAGGTATATTAAGAAAAATAATAATTATTGTACGAAAATGAAAAATTATGAAAAATTTTACAAAATTGTTTTTCATTAATGACATGTGAAAAATAAATTTATATAATTGAAAGGAGAGAATAATAAATATTTAAAGATATAACTGAAAAAATATAATTAATTATTCGTTAGAATTATAATGTGATTTATATTGTAATACAATTTTTTTTTCTAAAGTGACTTACACTCTGGTTATATTTATAATCAACAATTTTTTTTTAAAATTTATTAAATAATTAATGTATTTGATATAAAATAATAATTAAATATGTTATTTATTCAATAAATCTAAAAAAAAAATTATTATTTATAAATGTGTATGGAGAGTGTATAAGAAATATATTAATATAAAAGTGAAACAAAGGAAAAAATACAAACAAAAATCCGTCAATAAAAACAAAGCAAGTGGCACAAAAGAAATACCTAGTTATGCAGAACAAACCAGGAAAAACAGACACATACAAAATTCCAACAACTAATCCTTTATTTGATATATTACACATGATAGACATAGTGATTTATAAAGTTGTAAAATATCTATACTATAAAGTGGCAAGATAGATAATACATAACAACAAAGGATGTCTATCTATACCTATTTTGTATATTCAAACGCAACACTATTTATTTAGGAAGTTTATTACACTTAGTACATGCATGCATGATGACAATATCAGTTACGATCGTCAAAACCACCACCGTTGTAACCACCTCCACCATGACCGTAACCTCCTCCACCACCATTGTAACCACCACCATGGCCATAGCCTCCACCACCATGATAACCACCGTAACCACCATGGTAACCACCACCACCATTGTAACCACCGCCACCATGGTAACCACCACCACCATTGTAACCACCGCCACCATGGTAACCACCATAGCCACCGCCATGGTAACCACCATACCCTCCGTGGTAACCACCATAGCCATTATGGTAACCACCGTAGCCTCCACCATAATATTTGGCATCATTTATTTCATCTGACTTTTCAACAACCTCTGCAAATACAAATAATATCTGAATTTAATTCTTAAACTAATTCATTTTGAGTATAGATATCTATTTGTTTCTATAAATAAGAAAGAAAAATATCTCCAACAGTATAAAGTAGCCTTAAAATGCTCATGAAAAAAATATATATTTTAAGAAGCCTCTAATATGTTAGTGCAAGGTGATGAATTTGAGGAAGAAGATGAAAAGGGAATAAATGTAATAAATGCTGACAACAAAATGATTGAAATTGATTGACATAAATGTAATCCTAATACACCTATTTATACACAAATAATAATGCCACATAGGCCCTAATTGTAAACTTATCTTTAACAAACAAAATACTAAATTACCCTCTAATACCATCCCATAATTTAGTAATTTATCAGAAGTTAACAACACCAATTTCATCTCTCAAGCGCAGAAATTGGTCTGTTTTTGTTGCCTTCGTCAGAACATCTGCCAGCTGCTTCTGAGTGCTACAGTGCAGAACTTCTAGCACTCCTTTCTGCACTTGACTTCTGAGAAAGTGATACTTCGTCTCAATGTGCTTGCTTCTGCCATGTAGAACTGGATTCTTTGCAAGATTAATTGCAGACTTGTTATCAATCATCAGCTTCAGAGGTTCCTCAACTTCTACCTTCAGATCATGCAGCAGATTCAGAAGCCAAACTGCTTGACAGGCAGTTACAGCACCAGCAATGTATTCAGCTTCACATGTTGACAGAGCCACAACAGACTGTTTCTTGGAACACCAAGAAATTGGACCTCCCAAAAACTTAAATAAATACCCAGAAGTGCTTCTTCTGTCGACTCTGTCTCCACACCAATCAGAATCAGAATAACACAGAAGTTCTGATTTGATCTTTCCTTCAGAAGGAAATAACACTCCATATTTCAGAGTTCCTTTTATATACCTCAGAATTCTGACAGCAGCTTGGTAATGAGACCACTTTGGTTTGCTCATGTATCTGCTGACCATTCCAACTGCGTAACAAATATCAGGTCTGGTATTGCATAAGTACCTCAGAGAACCAACCATCTGTTTGAAGGTTGTAGCGTCCACATCCTCTCCATCAGAATCAGAGTCCAACTTCTGATTCGTATCAGCAGGTGTGATAGCAACCTTGCAATTTGCTAGCTCAAATCTCTTCAGAAGCTCTAGTTCATACTTCTTCTGATGTAAAATGATTCCTTTCTCAGAGTATATAAGTTCCATCCCTAGAAAGAAACTCATTTTTCCAAGATCTGTCATCTCAAACGCCTTCATCAGAACTTTCTTGAACTCAGCTGTTTCTTGTTCAGAACTTCCTGTGAGTAATATGTCATCAACATATAAACAGACCAGAATCATATTACCTTCTGAAGTATGCTGAACGTAAACACCATACTCCATTTCACACTTCTGAAACCCTTGTTCCTTGAAAAACGAATCAATCTTCAGATTCCAAGCTCTGGGCGCTTGCTTCAGTCCATACAGAGCTTTACTTAACCTGTATACCATCCCTTCCTGATTCTTTTTTACAAATCCAGGAGGTTGTGACACATAAACTTCTTCCTGTAATGGACCGTTCAGAAATGCAGACTTCACATCCAAATGTATCAAAGGCCAATTTCTGTTTGCAGCTAAAGCAATCACCAGTCTGATTGTTTCGTGTCTAGCTACAGGCGCAAATACCTCAAAGTAATCTAGTCCAGGTTTCTGAAGAAAACCTCTGGCCACTAGTCTCGCTTTATGTCTGCCAATTGATCCATCTGGCTTTAGCTTCTGCTTGAAAACCCATCTGACGCTGATAGCTTTCTTGCCTTTTGGAAGTTCTGTCAGCTTCCAAGTCTTATTTCTTTCAATTGCCTCAAGTTCTTCTTTCATGGCATTCAGCCATACTTTCTTCTTGAGTGCTTCTTCAATACCCACTAGTTCAGAATCTACTAGCATGGCACACTGAACGATTTCACCTTCAGAATCTACTTCAGTATCATGCAACATGCTAAAATCTGCAAACTTACTTGGTATTCGTCTGATTCTCTGTGGCCTCTGGTCTTGTTCTGAAGCTTCTCCAGAATTCGGAACAATACTGGCTTCTGAATTTTGTCCAGAACTACTTCCTTCAGAATTACCACCTTCAGAGTTACTCCTGGAAATTTGTTCTCCAGACCCTATGTCTTCAGAGTTTTCCCTTCCAGAAGTAAAATCACCACCAGATTCTGGATCATCATCAGAATCTGGATCAGAATCAGATCCACTATCAGAATCTCCCTGAGATTCTGACTCATCTTCAGAGTCTTCTTCTTCTGACTCTGACTCGTCTTCAGAAACTAACCCTGGTGTTGGCACTACACCAGAATCTGATTGAAGCTTGTTCCAATCCCATGTTTCTGACTCTTTCACAACGACGTCTCTGCTGATTTCAACTTTGTTGGTTTCTGGACAATAAAGCTTGTAGGCACCTGTACTGTGGTACCCCACCAGTAACATTGTTTTGCTTCTATCATCCAGTTTTCGTCTTCTAGCCTCTGGAATGTGTTTGTAGCACACAGAACCAAATACTTTCAGATGGCTAACACTCTGCTTGTCTCCAGTCCATTTTTCTAAAGGAACAGTTTCTTTTAGCTTCTTCGTTGGACACCTATTCAGAACATATGCTGATGTGGCAACAGCTTCTCCCCATAACATGTGAGGTAACTTCTTTTCTTTCAGCATACTTCTGGTCATATCAAGCAAAGTTCTGTTTCTTCTTTCAGCGAGACCGTTGTGCTGAGGAGTATATGGAGCAGTAACCTCATGTTCTATTCCATTCTCCTCACAGAACTTCTGGAACTCTGTAGAGTTATACTCACCTCCACCATCTGTTCTCAGAATCTTCAGCTTCTGACCACTCTGCTTCTCAGCCTTCACCTTGAACTTCTGGAATTCTGTAAACACTTCATGCTTGAACTTGATGAGTTTTACCCAAGTCATTCTTGTGAACTCATCCACAAAAGACACGAAATATTTGTTTCCTCCAAGTGAAGCTACTGGAAATGGTCCACACACATCAGAATGTACTACACCCAGAGCATGTTTTGCTCTGGGGGCTACTTCTGACGCAAATGGCAATCTGGGTTGCTTGCCTTTCATGCATATCTCACATGACTTCTGAGGCTTCACAATCTTCGAAATGCCATGTACGAGCTTCTTAGAACTTAGATGCCCTAAGCTTCTATAGTTCAAGTGCCCCAACCTCTTGTGCCACAGCTTACTGTCTGCTTCAGCGCCTTCTGCACTGAGACACTCCGCTTCAGAGGTTTCTACATTCACTTTGAATGTTCTGTTGCTTCCCTGCTCAGACTTCATAATCATCTTCTGATTGGAATCGTACAACGTCAAGAGGTTGTCCTTCATAACCACTGAAAAACCTTTCTCAACAAGCTGACCCACACTCATCAGATTGCTTTTAATTCCAGGAACGTACCAGACATCTTTGATCAGAATGTTTCTTCCATTCTTCACTCTGACTCTGACATTTCCCATACCTTCTGCATTAAGGTACTTATCATCAGCACATCTGATCTTTGTTCTCCTTCTGGAGTCAAAGTCTGTCAGCCATTGTTTGTTCCCAGTCAAGTGATTTGAACAGCCGGTGTCCATATACCACCAATCTCCTGAACAGTTTCCATCAGAATCAGAAGCCATCAGTAGCACAGGTTCATCATCAGAATCTTCTCTGGCTATATTTGCTTCTTCTGATTTTCTTCCTTTGTTTCTACAGTCTCTGGCAAAATGCCCAAACTGTTTACAGCAGTAACATTGAACCTTCTTCTTGTCATACCTTTCCTTTCCCTTCTGATATTTCTTTTCATCAGAAGTTGAGGTTTCTGACTTCTGGAATTTATCACCATGTCTATTCTACTTCTGGTCCTTCTTGACAAAATAAGCTTTCAGAGCTTGCTCCACTTCCCTCTCAGAAGTTCTTTCAGTCAGACGCAACTCTTGTGCTTCTAGACTGCTTTGCAACTCTTCTATTCTCATGGTTTCCAGATTTTTAGAATGTTCAATAGAAACAACAATATAATCAAACTGAGGTGTAAGTGACCTCAGAATCTTTTCTATGATTACCTGTTCAGAAAGTGCTTCTCCACAAGCCTTCATTTCATTAGTAATCAGAATCAATCTGGAAATGTATTCAGAAACTTTCTCACTGTTTTTCATGCTGAGATTTTCATATTGTTTTCGCAGGGACTGAAGTTTTACCTTCTTTACTGATACATCTCCACCATAACATCTGGTCAGAATATCCCATGCCCCTTTCGACATCGTCGAATCAACAATCTTCTCAAACACATTTTCATCCACACACTGATGGATGAAAAACAGTGCTTTCTGATCCCTCTTCCTTGTAGCTTTTTCTTCTGATTTCTGTTCTACAGTAGCATCAGCTGCTACTGGAACATAACCTTCAGAAACAAGGTCCAGAACATCCTGAGCACCAAACAGCACACGCATTTGAATCTTCCATCTGTTCCAGTTTTTACCATCAAAAACTGGAAGTTTAGTGTTTAAACTACTGCCTCCATTCATCTTAAACCTTTGCACAGAAAAACTCAGATCTCACTCAGTGTTTCCCAAACCCACAGAATCAGTGTGATTCTGTTTCAGATTTTTGTTCAAGAATCAAAAATCAAACACACAGCTCACTATCACTCGTGTTTCCCAGAGTTTCAGAATCAAACCAAGAGCTCTAGATACCAATTTGTTAGTGCAAGGTGATGAATTTGAGGAAGAAGATGAAAAGGGAATAAATGTAATAAATGCTGACAACAAAATGATTGAAATTGATTGACATAAATGTAATCCTAATACACCTATTTATACACAAATAATAATGCCACATAGGCCCTAATTGTAAACTTATCTTTAACAAACAAAATACTAAATTACCCTCTAATATAATACAGGCTCATAAAATAAAAATAAAAATAAAAAACCGTTACGAATTTTATTAATTTTAATAAAATAAATTTGTACTCATATTTTGGAGACTAAATATAAATTATGTATAGCTAACTTACCCTCTTTGGCATTAGTGGGAGTCTCTGCTAAGTCCCTGGCTGACACCTCTGAAGAAATAAGAAGAACCATGGCCAATAGGCCAAGGATGAGGATTGATTTTCTGGAATCCATTATACTCAAATGTGTTATTTGGTAGAGAAGGATGAAAAAAATATTATGAAAATGTAATCTATTTATAATGGAAGGAAGGAAGAATCAATAGGGAACCTTTACTCGGTGGTTGGGATGGAGATAATATCTATTAATTCAATCTTATCTTTAAAATGTGAAGTAATTGTTTGTTGATCTTGATTGATTTTGAGTAGTAAAGATTGGAGGCTATGAAGTGAAGCAGTTCAGTTATTATGTATATACCTACTTGCTATTAGCGGAGAGTGATAGTTTAGAAATCAGAGAACTTATAGTTAACCATAGTTATTTTGTGGAGTTGCATTCTCAAATGGTTGTCATTTATATCCTCAAATTTTCGATATCGAAGGGAAGATTATATATGTAGTATAGTACAACAAACCATCTTTATAGAATACCATTACCTCGAACGGATCGAGCAATAAGCACCAGAGGTAACTTCTGGAGCATGTTTTAAATTGTGGTTGCGGCAGCAGATGTGGTTGCGGTCGTGAATGTTGTGATTGTGGTTGTTGCGATGGGCATTGTAACCATTGTGGTGTGAATTTTTATAGAGAGATGTTTAAAATACAATGTTAAAAAATATTTAAGGTTAAGTTTTCTCGATACATGAAAAATAAATTGAGTTTTAGAATTCTAATATATTGATTTTTGATGAAAATACTTAAAGAAACATGATTGAAATTGTCAGATGTGATTCCTAATATAGTTGGAGGTGTAATTTTAAAATCACACTATAATTGCGGTCTGATGTGGTTGCAGAGACAACCGCAATTTAAAATCATGCTCTGGAGTTCACATGTCGGTGAAGTCTTGAGTTTTTAGAGTGTATTCTCTTATAGAATTTGAAACTATAAAGTTGGTGAATAATTGAGTGTGGAGAGGTTGAGAGTGAGAGAGAAAAAGAAAGAATAATTGAGGGTGAAAATATGAGCAATAATTTCATTCATGAGATACTCAAAGGATATAGATACATCTACATAAGATGAGGTACAATTATCAAACAGAAAAACTCACAGATGTAATTGGTTGACATATTATGTCAAACAGACGCATTTAACTACTCTCTCAGAATCTGAAGGAAAAACTATAGAGATAATATGTTACGTTGATTTAAATTACATTATATTCATAATACACTACCTTATTTCAAGTCCTTCAAGTCTTCCACACTCATATGCTTCTTAAATATCTTAAACACTTCAATAAGACTCCATTGATCAGCAAATCAGTCACTTGGTTTTTACTTCGACGATACCCTAACCTCAATCTTCCTTCACTTACAAGTTCTCTCAAGTAATAAAACCTCATCTCAATATGTCTGCTTCTCGTATGTGCAATTTGATTCTTATCAAGGTTTATAGTGGAAACGTTATCAATCATGAGCATTACGATGTCACCTTTTTCACTGCTAAGCTCCTTCAACAGGTTCTTCAACCACACGGCTTGGAACGCACATGACGAAGTTACAATATACTTGGCCTCACAAGAAGAGAGTGTCACTATTGGTTCCTTCTTCGAACACCATGAGATTGATGTTTCTCAAAATAAAAAGATGTATCCACCTATGGTTTTATGTCATCTTTATCTCCGCACTATTTGAAATTTGTATATTTGATTAAATTGTATTTTATGCCCTTTTCAATAGCGAGAAACATAATTCCGCATCTAACAAAACCTTTTATGTATCCCAGAATTCTCTTAACTGCTGTCAAGTGAGACACATTCGATTCATCCATGAATCTTCTCATAATCTGACACTAAACACCAAACTCGATCGCATATTGCACAAGTAACGCAAGGATCCAATCAGTCTCTGATACTAAGTTGGATTAACATCTTGCTCATCCTCATTCTTCGAAAACTACATCCTCAGCTCAGTCAGAGTAATGACACAATTACAATGCTCCATTTCAATTTTTTTCAAAATCTCAATCGCATACCTTCTTTGATGCATGAGCAGTCCCTTCTTAGCATTGTAAAACTCAATACCAAGGAAATACATAATGAGACCTAGGTCGATCATCTCAAACTCCTTCATAAGCTCACCCTTGAACTTAGAAATGTATCTTTCGTCGCTGTATGTAATCAACAAATTGTCCATGTAGAGACGTAGGATTATCAACCCTTCAATTGCATCCTTCTTCACATATAAATCATATTTGGATACACACTTGTTGATGTTCGTCTCTTTTAAGAAACCATACATCCTCATTTTCCAAGCACTTTTAGCTTGTTTTAAACCGTACAAAGCTTTCTACAATTTATTCAACTTTGACTCCTTTTCATAACAAAACCAATGAGTTAATCTACATAAACCTCTTCTTCAAGCGGTCCGTTCAAAAACACAAATGTGACATCTATTTGATAAATGGACCAATTGTTATATTATGTAATCTCAACAACCAATCTGATGGTTTCAATTCTAGCCATTAGTGAAAATACCTCTTCAAATTCTATGCATTCTATTTGCAAAAATGTCTTTGCAACTAATCGAGCCTTGTGCTTGATTATTTCACCCTTGAGATTTGCCTTCACTTTGTACACTCATCAAAAATCAATTGGCTTCTTATATTCAGGTATATCCTAATATGATTATATGAATATGCATATCCAACCCCACAACCTAAAGCATATTCATAACCACAAATACAATTCATGACATCAATCAAGAACCCAATAATTTCATTTGTAACTATACAAAGTTATAGTCACAAAATCTGAATAAAACATGAACAGGGAAACATGAACAATACACATGACAGTGTCAATGCCAAAACCGTTTATTCATGAAATGAAACAAAAGTCATCATCATTTATGTGTTAAAAAAAGAAACCAATAACCCAAGCGAAGAAAATAAACATTCAGAAGCGTGAGAGACAGAGAGAGAATGGTAACAATCCGTAATTCGAAGAGGATGAAGATTTCTTTTCCATAAATGATATTTGTTTCCTGAAATAAATGAAGATGGTGAGTATTTCGCAATTGTTATCGTTTTGTTCGCTAGGACACCCTTGTGTGTTATGAACGAAATAAATTATCTGTTATGTTTTTATTTTGTGGGAAAGAATTTCACAATGGTTGCAATCTTCACTGTAGTGAAATATGGAACATATAACCACATTTAAATGAAATAACCGTAGTTGTCATACTTTCAATTTTTAATTAAAAATAAATGTTAAGGGACACACGCTTATTTTTATAGAAAAATTGAAAAAATATTAATGCTGAGATTCGAAACTTGATCCCAAATTTTATGACCATGTGCATTTTTAAGAACAAGGATGAAAAATTTCTTAATAAAATTAACAAACATGCGCGTAAAAAAGGAATTATCATCTATCTATAATAAGAGGAATGATCACAATGTCCCAAATAAAAGAATGATCATTCAGCCAAAGTCGATAAGGTTGACCATACATTCTTCAAAGAAAACATGATCATTTGTATATAATTTGGAATTTTGTTATGTGAGCAATTTGGAAATCCCATAATGATGGAATTTTTTATGTAAGCCTATAAAGATAAATGATTTGAAAGATGAGATAGAAATAGTATTTTTTTTATAGGTATGTGTATTATAATTTTTTTTTATTGTCTTTTTTGAGATGTCTCGTATTGATTAAAATAATGAAGAACTCGTACATCTATCACTTTAAAATTTTGGGTGAATATTGAATAAGTGAGATTTGAACCATGTACCATCACCATGTCAATCAAATTCCCTTCCACTAAATCATTTTGTTCCTTATGATATATGTTTTATCCAATTGTATTTATAACATATACTTTCTATTTGAATAAATTTGAATACACTAAAACTAAATAAAGTAAATATTAAATATTTGAATAAATTTATTAAAAAATAAATTGAATAATTTAATATGTTTAATAATATTTTTTAATAATAAATTGAAAATATATATTTTTTAAAATAAACTGAAAATAGTTTTTTTAAATAATAAACTAAAAATAAATTCTTTTAAAAACAAACTGAAAATACATTTTTAATAATAAATTGAAAATAATATTTTTTTAAAAATAAACTGAAAATAATTTTTTTAATAATAAAAAGAAAATATATTTTTTTAAATAAATTGAAAATATTTTTTTTTTTAAAATAATGCAAAATACTCATTTTAGTCCTTTAACTATACCTTTGAGTTCACATTGGTCATTACCTTTTTTTCGTGTCATTTGGGTGCCTTAACTTTTCAAAAGGTTTCATTTTAGTTATTTTTGTCTAATTAACAACGGAAAAATTTTGAAATTCGTCGTTAAATTTGTAATTAATTAGACAAAAAAAAAACTAAAATGAATCGTTTTGAAAGTTAAGGGACTAAAATGAAATGAAAAAAAATTATGGGACCAATGTGAAACCAAAAGTATAATTAATGGACCAAAATAAGTATTTTACTAAAAAATGACAATATTTTTTTTTAAATAAATTGAAAATATATTTTTAATAATAAACAAAAAATAATTTTTTTAATAAAAAAAATGGAAATAACTTTGTTTAATAATAAGCTGAACATAATTTTATTTTAATAATAAACAGAAAATAACTTTTTTTAAATAATTAATTGAAAATAATTTTGTTTAATAATAAACTGAAAATATTTGTTTTCAAAAATAAACTATAAATAATTTTTTCTAATAATAAGCCACGTTTTAACCATTCAAATATATATATATATATATATATATATATATATATATATATATATATATATATATATATATATATATATATATATATATATATATATATATATATATATATATATATATATATATATATATTTTGATGCAACCTAAAAAAACATTTTAACCATTCGAAATTTCTAAACTTAAAAAAACAAAAAAAAAACATAAGTCACGTTAAATAAAAAAAAAGAATGTCGACGTAATAATTAGATAAATAAAAAAACAAAAAAAAATTAATATAGTAATGCCACATTATTAATTTTGTTGCCCAAAT